ATAGTTTTATCCAAAGGCTCAACACAAATTAGATTTCACATTTCTAGCTGCAGAGAAGGCAGGATCTTTCAGCAATAGAACTAACCTTTCAGCAGTACCCAGTTTACATGCCCTCATTCCTCCGGTGTCAAAAAAACACAGCATAAGCATTCCAGAGTGCAGGCTATTAAGACTAGACAGGCACAGTCATTTTGATTCTTTCCATCCTAAGCTAGTCTTTTCCAGTCCTGTTAATCTGCAATGCTATAATAATTTTAGAGGAATTTCTTTCAAGCAGAAGATAGTTGCTTAAACAATCTACTCCAGCAGAGAAATAAACATAAAAGGCGGTGATGTTTCCCTCTTATCATCCAATCATCATTCTCCTTTAGATTGATAGGACTGCATCACTCTCTGTGGCTGCTGTTTTCTGAAATCCAAAAGTAAACTGCAAGTGCCGATGCGATGACTGTCTTCTCCCAGGCTCCCTCACCAGATCATGACTGATTCCTGCATGCAGGTCTTTACTTTGGATGGCTGATAATTGCAGCTAAGCATGTCAGGGCTCAAATTAACCAAGGAAGCAAAGCTCTGTGAAAGCTTCCCTGCATTTTAGTATTCAACGTGCATTCCCAGATCTATGGCTTTTCTCTGTAACTGCAGTGAATGCTGCTGGCTGCCATGGCAGCAAACAGCCTGGCAAATTAAAACAGAAGGACCCAACCCTCTGCAATTCTACAAATCCTGAGTGTAAGGATACAGCATAAGCTAAATGGGATGAACACTTAACACCCTGTAATGCTTTCCTTCTTTCCTTCCTTCCTTCCTAAAGTTGAAGTGGCTCTTAAATCTTGCAATATACTGAACAAGTCTCTTCCTATAGTGTAATAGAGAATAAAGAAAAAGCAATATCCCTTTATATGGAAATGCTAGAAAGAGAAAAAGACTTTGTTCCTTTTATATAGTAGAGCTTTTAATTTCTGATACAGAATAGTTTATTATGAAATAATTAGAACTGTTAAGAAAAAATGAGTTTTTAAAATCAGGGGGTGGGGGGGAATCAATGTCGGATGAAACTGTCCCAAAGTAGAAATTGTAGGTGGGGGGGAAAGCATACAGATTTGTGCAAAATATATATGCATAAAGGTACCTTAATAAGAGACAATATAGTTCTCTTACAGCTAAAAACTGCAAAGATATATATGAGATATGAAAGGATGCACATGTGATTTAAGATTACTTTTGATTAATCTTTAGCCCATATTTAAAAATAAATCTTATCTAACAAGCTGAAATACATTTGTAACACTCAGCCTCACTTATAGATATACAAAGCTTCCAGAACAAAAATAATACTAATAAAAATGTTCCTACAAATAAAAATGTGATATAATGAATTTTTATTAACTTTTTGAAAAATTGCATAATTTCACCAAAAAAAATGTTGGCTTTATCCCAAGGTGCATGTACATACCTAGCCTATAATATGAAGTGTGTACCAATTTCCTGCCAAATCTCAGACCAGGTACAATTATAAATCTCTATTCTACTGAACATTCTAACTTGCTAGCTTCAGCCTTAAAATACCATTTAGACTTCCTTAAACCATGCTTTGCATTTTGATTAGTTCTGACTCTAATAATAAATTTCCCAATTTAAAGATATTAGATATAACGTGTGATCTTGGTATTTTCCAAAAAACATGACGGGAGAAACAACATACCTATATTAATTTGCAATAATCCAGAAAATCATGCATATAATTCATGGATAGTTTTTGTATTCACGTTAAATACTTTAGATGAAACAACTAGATTATGAATTAATTGCATTCAATCATAATTCATAAAATGCAATATATCTTCCAAAATGACAGTGGTTTTGGGATTTCTTCTTGCAGAGAATTTTAGAACATTTGAAGCAGCTATTCTGCTTCAAATCTTACTCTATTTAGACTATAACTTTTGTTCTGTTACCCACATAAGGTCTTAAATAAAATATATGACTCAATGGAGCATGTTGCTTCTGTCAAGATATATGAACTATTGCAAATATTTTTTTAAAAAAATTAATTTTATAGATCCTCATCAAGCATTCTATCCATCTGCAGTTATAAAGGCACAATTAGGGCTCCATCTGGCAAGTATAAAAGATAGAAATGTGTAATTAACCAAAACTTGTTTTTTGGGGGGTAATTTATAACACAAATTATATATTGTTTTGAAAAATATATATGACTGAGTTGACCACTAAATATCTAAAATTTGCAAGTGTATTTCAAGGTACCCTAGACTTTACTTATATATTACTGGAATATTGCCTTTAATCAAAAATAGTGCTACACACACACACATCTGGGTTGAATAAATAATAGCTAAGTCCACAACATTGTAGCATATTTTCTCAAATAAGAGAATATAACTGCATAGCATAATATTTCAATAGATACTCATTTATAGTAGATAGGAGTTGAGCAATGGTGCTGGCACAGTAATAAATTAAAGAACTGAAGCAATAATGAATACAAATGCAAAACTTTAAAGAAAAAAAGCTCATCTTTCCAAGGTATAGAAGAAATTATTTTTGACGTTGGATTACAACATCATCCACACAAATATACATTTTTACTATCTGTTTGCCTGCCTGCCTTTCTCTCTTTCTGTCTCTCTCTCTCTCTCTCTCTCTCTCTCTCTCTCTCTCTCTTTCACTCTCTTTCACACACACACACACACACACACACATATCAGGCTCATGAAAAAAAATCAAGGTCAATTAACCATGGGTGAATTTTGTACAAAGCAGCAGGCAAAACAGTCAGTACTTTTCTTTATGTTTTAATGGGTTTCAGCTGCGGAATATACAGAGAGAAAAACAATGAAACTGTTCAATATATAAAGTAAAAACAAAATGATAGCTTCCGTCCAATATTAATATCTACTAATGGAGCATGTAAATGTCATAGCACCAGGGGTGGGATTCAACTGGTGTTACTACCGGTTCGGTAACTACGTTTTGCGCCGGCGCATTGTGCAACAGGGTCACATAGTGTAATAAGATTGGGACTGGGTTAGGGACTTCTGTCCTCACTGTGAGTTGTGTTGGGTGGGGGAGTGCATGAAGGAAGGTTCAGCCAATCTCATTGTACACATGTTGTACTTTGACAATAAAGGTAGCAATAAGATCCACCAAAATATAATTGTGCTAGACATATTGAATTCCTCTTTTTTTCAAATTTCATTCTTATATATGTCACTGGAAATAACATTGGCTTGAAATCCTAATGTATCAGCATACTAGTATATGCAGACATATTAATAAAACTACCTACTTGGAGACACAAAATATTTTAATGATTTTTTTTAAAATTAAATCCATATAAAAAGGCCAAGCAGATTTCCATGGAAACTCACAAACACAGTTTGAAGGTAATAGCTCCTCTTGCTAATTTCTGTCTTGAAATCTACTGTTTAGTTTCCTCTAATTCTTGTACAATATAAAAGGAATAACATCCTAGTTTTTCACAGTACAAATTATTAAAATCTATTGTGTTCATGTGTAGTGACTTTTTAAAACTAAGAGTCAAAGGTAATTTAGCCCCTGCTCGTATAGCAGTTTCTCATTTTTTGATAATTCTGTATTTTTTTCTGCAGAATTCTTTTGATAATTGTGCAAATAAAAATACAGAGACTCAGTTCTAGAAAGCATATCTGCCTGATTTAGGTGAAAGTCTTCACCTGTGCCACTATGCTACTACTTCTCCAAATTTCAGTTGCAACATATGGAAGTAACATCTCATACTGAGTTCTCAACCTACGGGCCATGGCACACTACTGGTCCATGGCCTATTCACAACCAGGCTGTGTGTGTGGCTGGTTGGTGCAAGTGCATGTGTGTGGGTGCACATAGCCCCACTAGCACCAGCATCGCGGATGCTCCCAGCCCCACTCATGCAAGCAACAGGTGCTCACAAATGCGCCTGCCTCCATCCCCTCTTTTCCTTTCCCCTCTGCTTTGGGCCTCCAACCTAACAAGGTTGGGGAACTCTGAGTTAGCGGATTAAATATTTGCAAGCAAGCCACAAAGCTCAGAGAGCATCAAGAATTCCACAGATCACATGAATGTCCCAGGAAGTAGAGATAATTTATAAGACGCAAAAAAACAATGGTTTGGAAAATGATGAGAATTTTTAATCCTATACATTACTATAAAGTTGTGAAGTAATTATATTAATGTAATTGTTTCAGACATCTATTCTGAAGAATTTTTCTTCAAGAAATAATATCAAAGTGTATTGATATTATTGAAATTAATGATTAGTTGTTGCTTACATTGTCCTTCATTTAATCCTCTGTCCATAAAACTGTGCAACATTTAAGCAGTTAGATGGAAGGAAATAGAATTTTAGTTTTAAATTGGTTTTTGTCCCTGACAATTTTAATTATGATCTGATTAATTGTATGGGAATCAATTTCTTATCTTTTTAAAAGGGTAAAAACAAACAATACAATGAAAAAAGTCAAGAGTGTTATGATAATTTTGAATTATTTTTAAGCCATGCAGTTGAAGCCAAAATTATAAAGGAACGGAATTACAGGTAGTTCTCAACTTACAACAGTTTATTTATTGACCAAAGTTACAATGGCATTGAAAAAAGTGTTTTATGACTGTCTTTCACATTTATGTCTGTTGCAGCATCCCTATGTTCACATGATCAACACTCGCATGCTTGGCAACCGGTCCATGTTTATGATGGTTGCAGTGTCCTGGAATCATGTGATTAACTTTTACAACCTTCTGACAAGCAAAGTCAATGGGAAAATGAGATTCAATTAATAATAAAGTTACTAATTTAATACCTTCAATGATCCACTTAACAATTGTGGCAATAAAGTTCATAAAATGGGGCAAAACTTACTTAACAAATGTCTCATTTAACAACATAAATGTTTGGACTCTATTTAAGAATGGCCATAATAATTCAGAAATATATCACTATTAAGCAATGATTATATATTACTCACCAGATATTTCCTCTAGACATTGCTTGGCAGTTTTACTGTATGCCAAATCCAATTTTGTAGGACTGATACAAGAGTCAGAAGATGGGATAGAAGAACTATCGTTTTCCGAATGAGCTCTGGAATTAAAGAGATGGGAGGTAATGTCTATTACTTCATAACAGTGATGACTTATAATTCAGCATATGTGTTCAAAAATAGAAATATCATTAGCACTTCTTTGTAGAGATCTACAGGATAAAGTGCTAAACGGTTAATCATGAGTATAATATTGTATTCATATGGTGGAAATAAAGAAAATATACCATCAAGGTGTATTTGACTAGATTAATTCAGTCAAGGTGTCAAAGACAAAATATTTCTAACATCTTTCATTTCAAGACAGGAAATGAGACAGGGGAAAGATAAGTAAATCAAGCCACTGCTTAACCACAAATAGGCATGTATGTATTCCAAATGATTTATTCTAGGAATTATATTACTAAAAATAATATCAAACAGAAAAACAGCAATGTTGCTAGTTAAGACTAACAGTGAAATGGGACATATATTGCAAATAAGAACTAAGATATGATGGTTAGTAGACTGTTATCAATGGTAGAAAAAAATAAAGAGTTGCAGTTGATGGGAAGTGTAATTTCATATATCTAAAGAAGTCACTTCTTCTGACAGATGCCTTTGAAGCTTGCAACCACTGAATACATTTTCATTACAACTATTATACGGGATTACACTAACCAGTAGGAGTGCCTTTAGATAGTATTACACAAATGTGTATTTTAACAAAATGCTATCAAGGTCACAAAAATTTTATTAGACAGCTAATTCTAACCATAGTTTTCCTCTGAAAAATTGAAAATATGAATTAAATATCTAAACAATAAATACTGTGATCCCAGATTCACAACTGTGCTAAACTGTATCAACTGACCCATGAAGACAGTACCCAATAACCCAGAATGGGTTAAAATTAAAAGAAAGAAAGTACTTTCCTTCAATTCCCCTTGGGCATTACTTATATTAATTCAAAATAATTTGAATTTATCTTTTCACAAAACAAATTTTACCTCTGTTCACATGAGGTCAGTTTATTTTCAAAAAAAGAAATTTCATCATTTACAGTCTCTAAATTTTTTAAAAATAACATTCAACCAACTAGAGGGCACCTTGGAAAGCTTTGTTGAAAACATGTCTTTTGCAAAATAACAACCTGTCAATTCTGCTATATTTATGACTTCCAGGTTGCTTATCTAATGTTTTTCTTTTTCAAAAACAGTCTGCAAAGGGTGGGAAAACATAGTTCTGAGCCATATACACGATCCTGCAGTCTCCAAGAAAATATGCAGCAGATATTTTCTCTCATGTTTAGTTTTAGCATCTGCTTGCATTGTATCAGGCAGTATGTGAAGCAAAAATTGTGGCTCAGATGTAACATTAAGGTTGGCATCATGCTCTAAGCATGAGCTTGGCTAACAGACTCAAACGATTCATTTTGCTCATCCTTTACATATCCTGTCATAAATGAATCAATGTCATTTTCTGATAAGTCTTGAACCAGGAATCCAGTGATTTAAAAAGAAACACACACGTTCATTTGTACTTTATTAATTTAAGTAATTGGGATATGTCACAACTGGGCGAATTTGGGCACAATATATTCAAAGTCCCCCCTCCCCCTTCTGCTTTCCTAATGTGAAGCATGACGAAATATTATTGTGCAAGGATGACTTCATTTAACAGATTTTTAGGTTAATGTAAGTTTTAAATGTTATTATTGTCTAGTTCTTTATAATGTCGCATCCCAATTAAGTATTACAAATCTGAACACTCAATAAAACTCAGCTGTATTTCCCAATGAATAACTAACCAGAAACTCTCTTGTGTTGGTAGATAAAAAAATCTATCATGATTTTTTATGAGTGTCTGTTCTATTTTGCTTTTCTTATTTTTTTTTAACTTTTCTCATTTTCTTTTTTAACATTTTCTTTTAACTTCTTTTTTAACCATCAAATCAAAATTCTCATTACTCCTTTTATCTAGTTACTACTTTGACATATTATATTCCTGGGACATGTTATGTAGTCTGTCCACTATTTACTTCCATAAGTTAATGATTATTATTGCTAAATGATGCTCACTGATTGAGCAAGAACTTGGCTTTATATTTCTATTCTGAAAATCCATTATTGAACAATCTTTCTCACAAATATATCTTACCCATTGCTCTCATATTCCAAAAGTCTTGTTGTTAACATGTGTTGCAGCTTTCTGGGATTTCAAAGCTTCAATAAGATTGGATAGGGGTTTTTTTGGTGTTCACAAATGTACATAACTATAAAACATAGTTTATATAATATAACAATAAAGAATATTAGGAAAATTGGAACTGAAATCATTTACTTAGAGATGAGTTAAGAAGTTAGGATGGGGAATTCAAAAAGAAAAGCATTCCTTGATTATTTTCTTGGTTTTTAAAAAATTGTGTTTCCATTTACTATATCCTAAATCTGTATATCTTTACAGCATATACAATTTAAGATAAATATTTTAACCAAATATATATATAGGGAAATAATTTATCCTGTTTTGCTGAGAATCCTAGCTTTGAGGGCAGAGTTTGGCATGTTGCCACTTTAATTTCGCAGCAATGACTACAAGTGACACAAACTGTTAAATTTACTAGCATGCTGATGTCTCTAATTTGCCATTTTAGGGATAGAACAGCTTGCAGTAAGCTCAGAATTACAGAACTTGTGTGTCAACTATATATCAAAAGTCACAGAAGTTATAGTGAGTCTTGAAAGGAGATAAAGTAGATTTATGCAGGAAAAAAAATAGATAATTAAACATCAATCAAAATGGCATAGCTCACTGGTACCTTCCATCTTTTCAGTACTTGCATTGACAATTGAGCAATATGAACCAATTCCTGAGTTCAGTGTGGAACATTTCACTTAAATAGCACACATGTTTTTTTCAGGGTTATGGGCTATGTCAGTCTGAACCATCTGAGCACATAAATATCTATAAAATCAAACTGTGTCCTTTAATGAATAGACATTTCTTTCCATTTCAAATTCAATCTAGAATACAGGAAAAATATCAAAGGAGAAAAATCCAACTTTTTTTCCAATTTACTGGAAAAAGCAGCAAATCAAGATAAAAAAGCAGCAAATTTATAGAATTGTAGGCCTTCCACCTGTGGATGAAATGACTTTGTGCCATTTACACAAAGTAACATAATCAGTAATAATTTATATCAAGAATTCTGGTTACTATCAATCTCTCTAATTCTTTAATTTGCATACACAAGCAGCTATTTTATATACTTTGATAAAGGGTGGCTTCTTAAATGAATTTTCAGATAATTTAGTTTCTGACAGTAAAACTATATCAGCATGGTTGCTTATTTGAAGTACAAAAATATGAATTATCAATGATCACTCATTCTCATAAATTAACAGTCTAATTTTCAGCCTTATATGTGACAATAGTGTTAGAGTCTAGAAACACCTTTAAAAAAATGTCATGGGGTCTGGAATAGTATTTTCACAGCCTGAACACCTATAATAGCATCATGTTATTTTAGCACAGAATGGAAAAATATAGGACATAAAATTGGTAAAATGTTGAGGTAATTTCAATAGACATAAACTGAGAAAAATTCAAAATCCAGCATTAGCAAAAAAAAACAAAAAAAAAACCTGGAAATTGTTTTCAAAATTATCTACTTCATCGGTTTCTTCTTTTTAAAAAATGAAGCATGTACTGGAGCATTTCCTTGGGGAAAAAATTCATAGCAATGACAGCAGAATGCAAGTGCTCACATTTTTCATAGCCTAAAAGAAGCCATGAGTCTTCACTGCTATTTTTTATCTTAATGAAACCATTGCTAATTATGTCAAAATCTGTGACCCAACTTTTATTTGAAAAAAGCCTGTGATTTTAATTCTTGGTGACAAATATGTTATTTATTTAAATTCTGAGATAATTATAAAAATCCTGACATAGCGCCTGTTCCTCCATACTTACATGGGATGCATAAATCCAAATGTAAATACAGTTTTAATGATATGTAAATGTTGGATCATTTACATATCATTAAAATCTTTCTTAAGATTTGTTTTCTTAAGGCTGAATGTCTACTGGTCATGATAGTTACAGAATAAAACTCATTGTCTTTGACTTATTGAGGAGCACAATTCTGAGGATATAATCCAATGAAACTCCATTGACAGATTTCCTATAGTCATCTAACTGGCCATTCCAAGAACAGAACAGGGATCTAAATAGATTTTAATTATATATAGCTTTTTCCTCTTTTCAGGAAGATGTTAAAATATACTCCATAATAAATAAAGCACTTCAGTCCCTTATGGTTGGTTGATATTTGTGCCAATTTGCAGCATTAACATAACATGCAGATGACATAATTGTTATCATTAGTTCAAATGACATAAATTGCTATAGTGATATTTTCCTGTTTAATGGATATTCTATATCTATATATTAAGGCAAATTGTCAGTTAAAATAGAGTTTTACAATAAGCAATTTTAGAAAGCATGTGAAACATAAATACATATTTATTAGATTTTTAAAAATTTAATATGTTGTTTATTCTATGAAATGACCATATTTTTGCTCTACACGTAGGTTTATTATTACCTTCTCTCATGACAGCAAAAACAAATCTTAGGGGGGAAATGTAAATTATTGAATTATTGCTTGCAAAATTGATGAAAGTCCCTAATCAAAATCAGATTAAATCCAGCAAACACTGGCCTTCAATAATACAGAAGGTTCACACTAAAAGATACTTTCTCCAAGTTTATCCAGAAACCGCTATGTCATTTTAAATTCCACTATTGATGCTACAGAAGGAGACTAACTAGTTGCATAGAGTCCACATGTAGGCAAAATGCTAAAATAATTTAGCAAATAGTAATATTTTATTATTGTAAGATCATGAGCCTTGGTGGCACAGTGGTTAGAGTGCTGTACTGCAGGCCACTTCTGCTGACTATCGGCTGCCTACAATTTGGCAGTTCAAATCCCACCAGGCTCAAGGTTGACTCAGTCTTCCATCCTTCCGAGGTGGGTAAAATGAAGACCCAGATTTTTGGGGGCAATATGTTGACTCTGTAAAACTGCTTAGAGAGGACTGGAAACCACTATAAAGCAGTATATAAATCTCAGTGCAATTGCTATAAATAATAATTAAGGTGAAATCAATACAAGTAATATAGGTAATATTGGAAGTAATACAACATTATAATTATTAACATTGTTGAGATGGGAAAAGAAAATGTGACAGCCTTTTCATGAACATATTTGATAAATATATCAGCAGGAAAAACAAATCCAGCAACACAAGCTTCAAGTCCATTGTGCTAATTAAATTGCTTAGGAAGATGTCTCCACATGATCCATTTTATATTTTTCCACTATTTCAAGTATTTATGTGTATGTATGTATGTATGTATGTTTGTTTGTTTGTATATATATATGTGTGTGTGGTGTACATATAGAATGTATGTATGTATCTATGTATGTATGTATGTATGTATATATGTATGTATGTGTGTATGTATGGTATTTAGGTTTCTTCAGGTATTTTCCCATGTTTTAATATTTGTGTTTTTTAAAAGCACAAATATTAAGACGTGGGAAAATACCCGAAGAAACCTAAATACCATACATACACACATACA